AATGTATTGCCAATAATTGAACTCCAAATGGTAGATTGTCAAATAGGTAAAGTTTAGAATATTTTTCATCTTTAAAATGTGACGATTTTCTATGAAAATTTAATGAGAAGAGCCCGCTTATTTAAAAAATATCGTAAAAATGTAACATTTTAGGATTAACTCCTCTCAAAAATTAATTAGTCTAGTTCAGCGATTGATTAGCAAGGTATTCTACCAGAATTCTTTGCTTATCTGTCCTAATAAATTCTACAATGATCGATCTTGCATTCTTTTCAATAGCACATTTGCTCCCATCAAACAGACGTTCCCTCTCTCCATCGCCAAAGAGTTCCGCTAAGTTAAGTAATCGCGATATCAAGTATTGCGTGAAACATATGGAGATAACGAACAGAATTGCATGTCAAAAGTCCATTAAACGATTTAAAATAGGAGCAGAGCAAACACAGACCTCCAAAACATCAGAGGTGGGATCAGGTAGCATGGAGGCGTGAGCATCCCCCGCCGACCTGTCCCACCCGTCGTGTCCTCCTTGTCATGATCGGGGAATAACGGAAAAATCTTTCAAAATGATGACTTTAAACCACATAGCTAAAATTCCTATTTTATCAACTTGTCAATAACTTGGTTATAACCATTAGAAATAAAGGAATTGATTATTTTATTTATCTTGGGTTTGGGTAAATTAGGGAATTAGATTTGTAAATTAAGGAAAATGACTAATTGTTGCTCAATTCATGATAAAGAATACAATCTGCTGTATTTGATATAACCAAAAATGTTTTCCGCTTCGACATACATGTGGCGTAATTTGTATTAACTTGTTTTAAGTTAGTCATATTGAGGAATATTTTTTAATTTTGTTTTTTAATTTTTATAAATCATGCATTCTTTTAGCTATGGTAAGTTATGTATGGGGTTCTGTGTGATATAATGCCTCCACAGAAAAAGTAACTGGATCTGACATGTAATATCAATTATTCTAATTCTCTCAACTACTGTCAAGGTTAACTTAATTAAATACAAGGGATTTGACATTTATTAGCAAAATATAATTTTATTTATCTTGGTAAAAATAGATTTGTAAATTAAGGAAAATGACTAATTATTGCTATTCTTAATACTTGTGTTTATAACTTGAAAATGTGTCTGCCTTTTAACACATTCTTAAGTTTATTTTAAGTTTATCAAAATATACTGGTAAAAATATTGGATTGCTTTTTTACACATTTTAAGTTTTCAGTGGATTGCTAAAACATTTCTTTACTTAAGTAGTTTTACTTAAAATAATTCATATGAGTTATTCTTGATAATTTTATTTTATCGGGTAGAGCTCAAAGTTCATGGACTATTTACATCAGATGAGAATACTAAAACACCAGGGTTGAAAATGTTACTAAAATTAACTTTGGACATACAAATTCATAACACATAAATAGGAGAGAAACATGCAAATCATTCAATTTTGGGGAATAAAAGGGAATTTTATTGGTAGACAATTAGTGTCTGACTCTTAGGTTGGAAATTATTGCAGCCCGGAGGACCGGGCTGCTCTATACACATAAGTTTAAGTGTTGGTGTATGGGGATTGGGGTGGGGGTAGTTATTTAGAATTAAAGGTTTTCTAAACATTGAAAAGACTGTTAATCAGAATGTTCTTTCCGTTTATAAATTACGAGATACATAATATATTTATTTCCATAAAGTGAATCTGTAAAAATATATACGTTTTTCATATTTAATATATATAGTTGCTTATCATTTACTATCGAAAAAACGACAGGTCCCTTTTTTAGAACATCGAATTTTACTTCTCGGATAAAAACGTACTCTGCACAGTTCGTGTTTTATAATGAAAAATTGAAAAATAATACATTTTTAAATATAGGTGATGCGTGTGTCTAACTTGAATTTATATTTTATGCAGCCAACATTTACTTGAGGAATTGATCAAGTTTAAATGGTATCGTTTTTGATTAATTAAGTTTTCAAATATTCGCGACTATCGTCTCCATCAATTAGACGCATGCCTTTTCACTCATATCGAAGCGGTTTGATGATCAAGACTCATTTTCATTGTTTACTTTATATATTTCCTGGGCGACAATTGATGGTTACATCAATGTTTTCTTGTTAATTCTTTGGGAAAAGTATAAATTGGATAGGGTGTATTATGCACTTACTAGGAAGAGCTGCTATGGGGCTATCATGACATAGGAATATAAGAGATTTGGGAGTATCTACATGTATTAGTAAGATTTATTATTTGCAAGATCCAGTGTACCAAGGTTATCTAGTCAAGTACACATAAATATAAACTAATCGTACATGTAGTATGGGTATTTTTATGACTTAAGGCATAATTTCGGATCAGTTTCAGTATTTTCACAAGAAGCCAATTATTAATAAGCCAGAAGGCAATTATTTAAAGGACTTTAATTTTGGATTAGATTTTATTAGCACCACCTGTTTTAATATACAAAGACCAGGTCAATTAAGGTGATATATTTTACAATGGCAATTTTCTTTGGTCTTAAGTATTGTGATCAGACATTTTAACTTGATAAGCATGATATAATTTCATAGATTTTATTCAAGATACATAAATCAGAGAGTAAATTTAATTGCATTGATTATCTTCTATTAAACAAAACAGTAAAAAAAAACCCTAGTTAAAAGATCTCCATGTAGAAACATTAATAAATCCAACCCATTGGAATTTCACCAACAGCCTCAGTCAGGGAATAATTGTTGTTATCAATGAATTAGAAATTAAAGCATTTGTCAAATTTTTCCAGTAATTGTCCCCCGCTTAAAAAGTGGGGGATATTAGTTTGGGTTTGTCCGTCCGTCTGTCCGTCCGTCCGTCCGTCTTTCTGTCGGTCTGTAACGCTTTCGTTTCCACACGATATTTTGAAATCCCTTTGAGCTTTTGCAATGAAATTTAGCATAGCAACTCCCTATGGACTAAAAGGGAACCCTATTGATTTTGAGGTGAAAAGGTCAAAGGTTAAGGTAATAAATTCGAAAATTCTGTTTGTTATAACACGATATCTCTAGAACCATTTGAGCTATTGCAATGGAATTTTACATAACAACTCCCTGTGGCCTAATGAAGACCCCTATTGATCTTGAGGTCAAAGTTCAAGATCGTAAAGAACTATATGCGGTATATTGCATATGTTTGCCCCCACAAAAGTCAAATTTTGAAAACTTCCTGAAATGTGCTGAATTCAATAAATTGTACGAGAAATATAAGTTAACAGAAAATATTATAGTTCCAGAGCAGTGTATTCACAATTTCTGTTTTTATGACGTCACAAACTAGTGATTTTATATCCTTTTTCAGAAAGAGGACAAAATGGACAAAATTTCAACAATTTAAGCTTTAGAATTTATAGAGCGCATGTGTGTTCAGGAACAATATTGACATATTTCATTGATATTATCATTCTACACATTATATCAAAATATTAATCCTGAACACACATTTGACTTTTATTTAAAATATCGACGAAATATGTACATTTTTTCTGCAAAATTCATAAAAAACTGAAATTTACGTCATATTTGAGACCATTACGTACATATGACGTCATTACTTTGAAATTATTCAGTGCTTTGAAGTCAGCATATACTCCCCTGTTTAAGGACTTAATTAAATATTACTCCATCAAAGTTTGATTTTGGGGGGCAAATGTTGGTTAATACCGCATATAGTTCTTTATACATTCTCTCTGTATGAAACTCTATCATTTCCGGGCGATATTTCAAGAAGATTTTGAGCTTTTGCAATGTAATTTTATATCAAAACTCCATAGGACCTCTCTCACCCCTCTCAAAGTGTCCCGCCCCGTTTGTTTTATTAGTATTTATTGTATTACATGTCGCTATTTTTAGCACAGGGGCAGTGTCATTACGTATAAAACAGGTTCTCGTGGACTTAATATTCTTATTACATCTATTAGAACTGTTTAATAAAGGTTAAATTAGACTCCATGCATTGTGTAGAATTTTGACAATATCGAACGTGAATATATACATCTATGTGACTTCATATCTGCATATCATTCTCGCTAAGTTAAAGAGGCTCCGTGGTCTATTGGTATGTCTCTCACATGTGAGAGGTCCCGGGTTCGCATCCCGGATTATCCAATTTTTTTTTTCGAAATACTTTTTTTTTACTAAATGATAGTATTAAGCATGTGAAATGAAAAATTTATGAGGTCTGGCTTCTACAAACTCATAAAACCATCATTACAATGTGATAAATATTCCATATAAAAAGAATCTTCTATACACATAATAAAGAATATTAAGCAATCAAACCTTTATATCCATATTGGCATATTTTATTTGCTTCAGTATACATGTATGCATTTAATAATTCTACAAATTCAGTCAAGGGGATCCGAACCCCCCCCCCCCCCCCCCCCCCCCCCCCCCCCCCCCCCCCCCCAACTGCGCATGGTTTACTTTTTCCCTATTTAATTTAATCAATTTTTTATTATGTTGGATTACATAATTGGATTGGACATCAGGCATGGCCTATATAAGTCCTTTCCAAGGTCAAGGTTACAAATGTTAAGAATATTGACAATGATTTACAATGATGACTTACTGTATACAGGGTTATTTTCGCCCCGTGTTATTTTCGCCCTTTCACACTTGCAAACAATTTTGTCCCGTGTTAAATTCGCCCAGTCAAAGTATTGTTTACGAAATTATTCTGTATTCTTTGAATTCGCCCCGTTTTAAATTCGCCCAAATTAGGGAAGGGCGAAAATTTCACTGTATAGAGAATTAAGTTACATATTATTTTCTTTTGTTAACTATACATGGGAAAACAAAGCAAAAAAAATAGATTAAATTATACAGAAGAATTATAATTAAGTTTGTATACTCGCTATGAAATATAATGATATGGAAATAAAAAAGTGCAAACAAACAGCAAACAGAATAAGTAATTAAATAAAGTGCATAGGATTAATAAGCAAGGAAAAATACAAAACTGAAGAAAGGGTAACATTTATAAAAGACAAATAAATTTTAATCAAGCAATAACATTGAGTAAGGAAAAATAAAATAAAAAGAGAGAAAAAAACAAAAAACAATAATAAAGTGAAAAGACAAGTATTAAAAGGAAAAAAACAACATATACAAGGAACATGGAAAATTTTTCCCTAAGCGGGAGACGCAAATTCTCTGAATTAGCTTGTTTTGGATTAAATTTTTCTTCACTTAAATAAACAACAAGTTTTTTACACTTATCATGCGTCTGTTATGAACTTTGGAAACAAACATGGCAGTTATGTTGCTTTGGACTACCAGTTAGGTTTTAACAAAATTTTACAAGCATTCTTAGAGTATTGCATAAGTAATACATGTCCCCTAACGGATTCCCCTGTTCTCTTTAAGATGTCATTTTATAATATCCTGTTTATGAAAAAGTGCCCATAAAATGTGGACATTCCAGATATATACATGTACTTGTTTATGAGTGAAACGTCTTGGAATGAAGTTGATCTTTCTTACAAATAGAGACGTTTATCAATGTCATTATACATACATGCGTGCTTTGTTCAAAACAGCTCATTTTACATGATTAAAAAATATATTTAAAAAATCGAACTTGCTCTATATATGGTTTGTCACTTAGAATAATCTGTTTTTCGGGACAAGCCCTCACCACAGTTAGAATGTCTCCCATATACTCGCTTTAGCAAATATTGCAGACTGAGAATTGCTCCAAAACAATTCTGAAGAAAACAAAAAGATTTGCATTGAAAATAACTATACCAAATTAATTAAAACAATTAAACCTTTTCTTTGCTTGTCTGTCCATCGTGCAGTAAAAATATTTATTTATTTTGAAAGCAACTGTGTTCTGGTATAAAAGTTATGACCAAGGTAAAAGTGCTTGATATTAAAATTACCTCCTTCGCTGTTACTGTTTTTTTTTACTGAAATTTCAATTAACAATTCTCTTTTTTGTTTTATGTCGAATTCTTATACACTGTATTTTAATTCTTCAGTCTCAAATTTTTCTCACGTATTAATTGCAGTACGGTATAAATACATTTGTATTCGAAAAAAAATATTTTTATATTCTATAATTCATAAAAAACCTTATCTGAAATTGTTCTTAAAATCTAAAAAAAAAAAAAATATAGATATTTTTTTCCTTCTTGATAAGTCCCTGTTTGTCCGAAGATTTCATTCCATATGCTGTTCATCTTCAACATTTGGATTTATAATGTAGCCTGAATCAGCTCTTTTATTTCTCGAAAATGGATGAAGGTAAATGTTATCCTCTGAATATAAATCAAAATATACTATACCATATTAAGAAATCATATTATATCCTAAAGGCTTATTATACTCAAAAACATTTTGTAGAACAAAAAATACTTGAGAAAAAGAATTTTGTTTTCAAAGTTTACAGTTTCTTTATCATAAATTTTGATGTAAATTAGTGTAGCCTAATCCTTCATTTCCTTTGGATGATATAAAAAATTACCTGAGCGGTGTCTGGAATTAGAATAAGAAGCACGAACGACTTTAAACAGGACTCCGCTTATAACCACTAGTGCTAAAACAGCTACTCCAAAGAGTATGCCTAAAATTACTGGTACATTTGAGCTGTCCTCGCTAGAAAAATTAAATATAACAAAGTCTGGAATAAAACGTAACATCTGAGAAAAGGTTTTTGATATTAAAAGATTTAAAAAAAAAAGAAGAAGACAGGCCTCGTTTATTAATGTGAATGAAATTATTAAAATTTCAAGAATATTTAAATTACGTAAAATATTATACCCCTTCAACAAAGGTTGATTGCCAATCTGTTCTTGACATCTTTGATTCAATGAGGGATTGGGCGACACTGAAGGTAGCGTTTTAAAGGGATCTTTTATTCTCTTCTCAAATACCGAGTATCCACCCTCTTCTAAAGTAAATCGACCTATCTACACAAACAAGTACAGTTGTATTACAATTGAAATATTTGAAAAGTTACAATTTGAGTATTGATTCTGAATTTTTAAAAATTATTCTGTTGTGAAATGTGTTGAGGTAACGAACGGTATTTGAGCTCAAAAGTCCATTAAACAATACAAAATACGAGCTGGTCAAACACAGACCTCCAAAACATCACAGGTGTAATCAGGTGCCATAGAGGAGTGAGAATCCCCTGCCGACCGGCCACACCCTCCGTGTGCTCTATGTCATTATCGGGAAAGAGCGAAAAAATACTTTGACAACTTAGTGTGTAAATAATTGCATAACAATCAGTATGGAAAAAGTCAGTCCGCATTTGACTTAATGATAAATTTTTTATGCTGACAAGGACATTGTATTGACCACAGAACTTACGAAATGAGATGATACGTTCCTATATATTTTTAACTAAGATTTTGTCATTGAAGTAGTGCTACTTTTACAAGTCAACTCGCAAAACATTGCAAAACATTGAGGTACCTTACCAGGCATTTGTGCAAGATACCAGAGGATGGTATTGCCTATATTATTCTTTTGTTAATATCTTTAATTGCAAATATAAACAAGAGGCCCAGGGGCCACATCGCTCACCTGAGCACATCGGCTGGGAAAAAGCGCAGATCAGAACTGAAAAGAATACAAGTTTACTAAAGGGGGGGGCTACTCTCCCTACCCCAAAGGGCCATGATTTGAACAAATTTAAATCTCCAATATATGAGGAGGCTTACATGTCAATATGACTAAACATACATGTAGCTTTTTTCTGTTCTTGGGATTTTTCCTTTATATAAAAATTTGATCGACCTTTGTGGCCCCACCCTATCCCTGGGGGTTATGGTTTGAACAAACTAAAATCAACACAACCTGAGGATGATTCCACATGCTTCATCCTTCCTGGCCAAGTGGTTTTTGAGAAGATTTTTGAAGCTCTTTCCTATATATTTCTATGTAAAACTTTGATCGGCGCACTACCCCCGGGGTCATGATTTAAACAAACTTAAATCTTCAATACCTGAGGATGATTCCACATGAGTTTCATCTTTCCTGGCCCAGTGGTTCTTGAGAAGAAGATTTTTTTTAAAAATGCCATAATTTTTCACGAATTCAGAATTATCTCTCCTTGTAATGGCATGGACCTTCATATGTACAAACATGAATATCCTTCACCAAAGGTTACTTTGTAGCAAGTTTGGTTGAAATTGGCCAATTGGTTCTTGAGAAGAAGATGAAAATGTGACAAGTTTACGACGACAACAACGACAGACAACGGACAAATTTTGATCAGAAAAGCTCACTAGCTTGAGCCTTCGGCACAGGTGAGCTAAAAATCTTAGAGATGTAAAGAAGTCGGTTCACTTTACGCATAAAATGGCCCTGTAGATATATCAATTAATTGATCAACACTTGATTTTCTATTTGAAGCATTAAAATAAAATAGAGACTTGGTGCTTTCATATCCTATTAAAAAATTCACCACAAAGTCCAGGTCTAGGAGAGCTGGCTTCATGAAATTGCAATGTTCTTGAATTTTTAGGAAAACAGGTATAATTGAGTACTTTCAGTGAAGAAAAATAATATTAGCGCACCCTCTGCAAAAAATAAAACATGTCCATGAATCCTCAGAAACAGTTCTAATTCAAATATTTTAGATCAGATGTAATCATTAAAAAAATAACAAAAAATAGACAACTAGAAACCAGTGTAGAAATCATGAGGTAATCATAATTTTAATATTTTACGAAGATGTACATAACAGATATCTGAGGAACGTGCCGTCTGTCCTTAAACGAGACTGCTGATATTCTTGCTTCATCAACTTCGTCAATAACTTATCTCGGTTTAGAAACTGTTCAAACATAAAATACGTGAAATACACATTCTCAGATATGCATGTCGAAAACATTAAACACAATTTATTGCTAGACAAAACCAAACTTACTTCTACGAATATCAATTCACTTGGATCTGAGGACTTTCTCTGGACTTGATATATTTTGTATCCTATATTACCATCACCATTTTCGTCAAAAACTTTGGATGGAATCCCACTATCATCAATCACCAGTTTTTCATTCTTTATTGTATCGTAGACTTGTTGTGGAGAATCTCGATACCTTTGACATAAATTAGAGGACTGGCTTCCACAGAGATCAGCAAAAGATTTATTTGTTCCTTGCAGAAGAGAAAACATGGCATTGATAGCAAAGGCAGTCCATACTTCTGGTTGATAGTCTTGGTTGTTATATTCTTCCTGAACACCAGCACACTGTTTAGCTGACCGTTTGTTAAAGCTACCCGGCATAAAACAAGCATTTTTCTGTTCAAAATACTCTTGTGTCCAGGGGTTAACTTCGTTGTTAAGGTCGGCGAGCCTATCATGTAGATAACTCTCAAATTTAGATGTCCCAGTTAAAGGCTTCATTTGTAGGGACAAAGATATGGTTCCTTCTAGCTTGAATTTACCATCAATTATATCTTGTCTTGATCCAAACTCGTCAGAACCTATGAACAGATATGACCAAGGATTTATTCTTTCATGTAGTTCAGACATAACGTCTTTTACAACATGATATCCCAAAAAAAGGAGGACAACTGTAGCATACGGCGTTTTTTGAAGATTATCACGAATCTTTGTGTAATCATTTTCTCGAACTTTGATTTCATTTGCAATGCATATTTTCATATCTTTAGCTACGCGTACAGTAGCGTTCCTTCCTCCTTCGCCATATCTTCCTTCACTGTACATAATCTGTATGTACGTAGAATTGAGTGATTTCACTATATTAATCATCGCAAGTGCTTGTTTGTCGTCAGGAGTGCACGTGCGCATGAAGTATTTATAGGTAGATCTGTCACTTAAGACAGCAGCAGTAGAGGCGTAACTTATTTGAGGAAGATGAAAGTCCTGAAGTATTCTGGCTGTTGCTATGCTGATGTCGCTGCTATATGCAGCAACAAATCCCAGAGTATTATTTGTTATATCTGAAATTAGAGAACCATTGGATAAATATATGCCTTCCCTGAAAAAGTTCAGAAGTTTTGCTTGCATTAGCAACGGCTGGTAACAGCTGTTAAAAATGACATATCCGATCTTCTTTGTGCCGAACATATTGATATAATTTCCAAGTTTTTCGTTCACCGTGTCTACTGCAAAACGAATGCCTTCTATAATTTCCCACCCATTTGCTGTACGAATATCACCACACTTCATATTGTTGTGTACGTCCTTGTTATAGACAGGAACCACTGCAGCAACATACAAATCACCTTTTTTAAAAACAACTTCATTTGCCAAGTTACCATTTCGGCAAGATTCACATATTTTTTGGGAATCACACTGAGCCTTTATGATATCCGGCCAAACCAATCCATCTTCGTTCTTCGTGTAATCCCTCAATAAGTCTGTTTTTAAATTCAACGTTTTATTGCTGTACCCTCCAACCTATGAACAAATGGTAAATTTTGTTATCTTCCTGTCTTAATAAAACCATTAAATGTTTATCAATATTTATCTGTGGTTTGGTTTAAATCATTTTAATGCAAAGACATAACACTTATAATAAAACTATTTAGCTGAAGTATCTTTGCTTGCTTATTTAAATACGTTAACAAAAGTATCTGTTTCAAGTGGGAAAATGCTTTTTATACATCCCTTAACTATACGTACCCTCTCTAAACACGTTTCTTGACCTTCGAGAATGCAATTTCGGACATGATAAACTTCATATTCATCCAAATCTCCTCTAAAATTAGCTTCAGTTTGTCCATTAAAAACTATTCTTAGGTTTTGTCGTAAACCATCAGGCATTTCTTCCTGAAGACTTATACTTGTATTTTTACCTCTTTCTACAAGTTTGTAAGTATTGTCCCACAACGTACTATTAAGATTGCTGCACAAACCCTCTGTTTCTCCACATTCCTCTCTTTGGAGGTCTTTGAGAAGTTTGGCTTGCATGATAGTGGACAAAATTGCATAACCTTCAAATACATTGTAACCAGTGACAGAATCTACGTCAGCTAACGTTGGCATCAAGCAGGTAGGATTCTGAATATCACAAGAAATAATCTTCTCGACAACCTTCTCTAACCATGAATTAGACGACATTTCCTGACTGAAAATAGTTTTATTAGTCAAAATATTCGACCAATGCAATTTAAAACTCTCAAAAGTCAACCATGGAGGACCAGTGAAAAAAGAACCTTTTGCTACACGATACTGGTTTAAAGTCACTTTGTCTATAACAGAGGATCCATCAGAAAAGATCATTCCAAGTTGAAAATTGTACTGATCTTTGAGTTTGTTGGCAACATTGAGAAACACTTTGGCAGTTTTGGTTGACGCAAATACTACTACTCCTGTTATTCTACTTTCAGCATAAAAAATCATGGACTCTAAAACTGACTGTAGGTCTTGGGAATTTGGAAGACCATTTTCTATAGATACTGCTGAAGCGTATGCAATGCATATTTTTCTTGACTGAGTCTGAATTTTAAAATCTTCATAGTTACCCCGCGCGTATGTATTGTTTTCGTAAACTACACCAATGTAGTTCCATTCAAGTTTTTGTAATAGAGATGTGATGACCTAAAAGGAAATAGTAGGGACATGTTTTAATCAAATACCATTTTATCTACATGAATATGATGAATACAAAGATAATTTTTAATTCCAATTTTTTTCAAGGAAATTTATAAATAAATGTACTTACAGATACTTGTTTAGAATCATCTGGAACGAGTCTGACAATATTTTGATATTTATTTCGATCTCTCAGTGATGAGGAAGTAGCAGAGAAAAGTGTTTGTATGAGCATGTTTTTGTTTTCCAAGGAACTGATATATAAAGAAGTGTCTACAGCTTCTCCACTGTACTCTGGACCGATTATTCCTTTATAAGTACATCATTAACATGATTAGTCTCGCTGATTAATTTGATATCCTTTATCAACATCTTAATTTACACACGTGTTTAAAATTGCTCTAGTATGCTTACACAAATTAAGATTAAGCAAATTTTTTTTACAACAACAATATTGCATCAGCGAAAGCTGCCTTAAATAGTTCATTATTCATAATTTTATATGTACAATTGCCCAAATATTAAGGAAAATTTATTACAAAGTGTATTACAGTTTCCATAGGAGTACCTGATTGAATGCAAGTCGATAGTGTTTACCTATGATTGGCACTAAATTTTGATTGGTTTTATCCTGAAGTTTTCTGATGACTATTTTACTGGTGTATTCTACAGCTCTCCCCTTGATATTGCATGTTGGGAAGGCTTCTATACCTACATATTAATGAAAGGATTTTATGTCTCAGTTATTTCTGGTTTTTAACTTGATACTTAAAAGTAATATTAAGAAACTGGAATTTTTCGTGTATCAATTTCTTTTACATCCTCCTTAAAACGTCATTAAAAAGTTCACGATATTATGTATCTTGGGCTTACCAAGTTTTATTCCCGGGATATAATTATCCTGATTTAGCTTGTTAAGTGTCCATTTTACAGCCTCAAAGTTTCGAACAGACATTGTTAGTATATCATTCTTACAATCCCCATCTCTAAATATTTGGAACAACCCTGCAAGATGGACGTCTCCTTGAAGCACGGTACTTCCGTGAGATTGCGAGATCCTCAAGATGAGAAACGCATATATAAGGAGTCCGTTCATGTCTGAAATAAATATTTATTAATTTTTCATATAAATTGTTAGACCACAAAGTTGTCATCGAATAATTCCGTTTGCACCATCATGATAAGGAGAGCACAACAGAGCTGACAGGGGATACTTACTTCTCGATGGCCCCTGATCCAATTTATGTTTTAAGAGGTGTGTGATTGCTCTGCACAATGTATATAGTTTCAAAAAACTTCCAAAAACTAAAAGGAATTCGTTGATATATTTTACAAAGAAATATTTGATTTTGTTTAACGTCTTAGAAATACACACCCTAGACCTAGGTGTCTTTTCTGTCCAGTTAGAGAGTATGTTGCAACCGTAATTAAAAATTAGTATAAATCTAAAATTTCCAAGGAAATTAAATACTATTCCGTTTCAGTTTTTTATATGATTTTAATTCATAGCAATATTCTAATTTTCGAATGAATTTATTTTTTTATGTGGATAAAAAAAATTAATGCTTTTGCAATATTACAAGGACCTTTCCCTATTATCATGTGATATGTTAAATTTATATGATTTCTGACTTAAATTATTTTCAGATGTTTAATTAAAAATAATTTTAAAAAAATAATGACGGAGTAAAATCATTACTTTTTTATGGTTAAAAATGTGATATTTGTTTCCATATTCCCAATTTTGTTTAAAGTTACCCGGAAAGAATTAGATCTATAAAATCGTATTTTAACCTACCAATTTTGTTTCAGATGAGCTTAAATTTATCTGGATACTTGTTTTTCTCTTCATAATCAGTATATAGAGAATAATAATACCCTTTTCCATATCACATCCTGTATCAGCCCGAGACACCAATATCAGCCAGAGGGCCGAAGGCCCGAGGGCTGATATTGGTCGAGGGCTGATATAGGATGTGATGTGGAAAAGGGTATGTTTTATTGTATTTATTACATACTTAGTAATAAAATACAGAACACATTAAGCTAAAATGAAAATAAGTAAATAATCATGCACAGACTTCTTAAAATGTACACAGTCTATTATCTCTTACAGTTTCAGTTTATTTCTGCATGTACTTCTATTTCAGGTGTCCTCAATCTGTAATTTTAAAATAATCTATTATTTATCAGTTAGATTATCATTACATTCAAAAAGTTAAAATTAAGAGAATTATGTAACCCCCAAAATATGTGTATGATCACAAGTACTGTTTTTTGAGGTTTAATTTACTAGGGGTGTGATATTGATCCGTATCAGCCCTGCAGGGCTGATAACCTATATCAGCCCCGCAAATCCATATCAGCCCTGCAGGGCTGATACGGCTATTGTGACGTCCGCCATATCGCATATGCGAAAATCCTGTATTTATTACTAAGTATGTAATAAAGTATTTTAGAATAATGTAAAAAAAAGATTTTAACACAAATAATTTGTATAACCTGGTTTGGTATGGGGACACCTCCCCCGACAACCCGCTGATTCATATGTGTAATGTCATACATTTTGTAAAGTATTATTTAGAATTGCAGATTGTGCATTTTAGGTGCATTAGCAAATATGTCAAATTCTGAATGACTAAATACATTGTTCATTGTTCCAATTGTTTTGATAACCATATTCTCACGCTTGAATTTCGCTGACTGACCATAAAGTCCCGTCTGCTGTTTATGTTGAAGCTAAAATCAGCTGCATTTTGTTTATTTAACTGGGAGAGCCCGTAGTTTGATATTTATTTTAATTATGAAACTATGCTGTTTCTTGTGTAGGTTTTATTATATAGTCTGTATTTTCACGCACAAATTTCATTCTTGTAAAAGACTCAGCTAGTAGTACTATCCAGACTTTTTTAAACTCAGAGAAACTGTGGCCGATCACAATCATTTTACCATCAAATCATCAAGCGATCACTCTTAGATCTCGTCACCCCTTGTAATCAGGGACATACTTGCGCCTATTATAGGATCCGCGCCCCTACGTGTACTGTTATTGTGACAATAAGTGGTTAACTTGCTGTAATATGTGTCTTTATAATTTCATTGAGTAAAAGTTACATGGAAGGCAGTGCAGTATTACAAGTGGCCAACCGGATACTCTCTTTCTGATTTCGGACGTCAGACTCGGATCACTACAATTCGTCCATCATGAGTTCGGGTGAAGAGCAGTCTCGAATCAGGAAACCCATGGAAGAAGGACTCTCTTTATATAAAAGTAACAAGGAACGATATGAAGTGAAGATCAATAGTATATGGTGCCGTCTTGTATCTTGTACACAGGACATCGAGTTTGTGAAAGTGACAAAATATTGCTGGAAACTATACAGACTGGTGCCAATCACTTATTTAAAGAACACAAAGAAAGTGCATTTGAATTTCTGGAATTTCTTGACTGGCCAAAGAGCGATCAAAGTATTAAGGACAAAGAATGTTTCGAAAAATCTTACGTGAGTAACATTCACGCAGTCGAAGAAAGATTGCAAAAAATTAGAGAACTTTTGCACAAACTGACCGAATCGGATAAATTAAAATCAACAAGTCAGCAATCATCAAGATCGTCCCTGAGTTCTATTATCGCTTAGAAAAAGGCAAAAGCAGAAGAGACTCGTGTACGCGCAGGCTTCGCTAAAACAGAAGCTGAATTAAAGAGACAGAAGGCAGCGTTAGAAGCTGACCTTGAAATTTTGGTTCATACTCGAAAGGTTGCTGCGACAAAGGCAGCCCTAGAAACACTAGAAATAGAGGAAATGAAATCTAAGGAATTATTAGATATTCCATCAGTGCCAAAAAAGGAACTAACTGAAAAATATGTGAATGAACTTCCAACAGAAGGTCATTTAAATCCGCGCGCTGTACCATACATTCCGCGTCAAACCGTAAATACTTGTTAACCAACAATCATTACCTCTTACCCAGGTCAGGTCGGACACCCATATTCATTTGTACAGCAGCCCATGCCGTTCCACAGCGAAAATGAAAGTCCATTGCAAAATACGCAAGACCAAGTAAATGCTACAATTGACCAAAATCGTGGATTACTCGGTTTTTTACTAAAAAAAAAAGAAAGACCTATTGTTATTCCGATTGTGCTGTTTTACAGATAAGGCAGAGATGTACCCGTCTTGGCAATCAAGTTTTAAGAATGTTGTTCAAGAAATCAGAGCAATCGCCACCGAGGAAATTGATGTGCTTGTGAAATACACCGGAGACATATCTCAGAAATACGTACTCATCTGCGTGCAGCCCTTACACGAAACCCAGCTCTCGGACTCAAACGAATCTGGGAACGCTTGGGCGATAGATACAGCAGCCCAAAAATGATTGACAGCGCCTTGAAAAATAATTCAGCGTCCTTTCCAAAACTAACAAACAAAGACTTTAAGAAACTGTATGACCTCTCTGACATCCTTGAGTAATTGAAGCGTTGAAGGAAAAGGACATGTATGGGTCTATGTTTTCATATTTTGACACGTCTATCGGGATTGGCCCAATAGTATGTAAACTGCCATACATGCTGCAAGAAAAGTGGAAAACAACAGCATCTCAGCACAACAAGAGGCATAATACATTACATCCGCCATTTTCTACATTCTGCGACTTTGTTCGAGAACAAAGCAAAATTAGAAACAACCCAGCTCTCCAGTATGAATCAACAACTGCGAATCCAGCTGCTACACGACAGAAGCCACCTGAGAAACCTGGATTTCGAGTAACATCACATAAAACGGATCTTCAAGTTTCCGGCTCACCAGGGACGGTATGCCCTATACACAACACAGGGCATTCGCTCAACAAATGTGCCCGGTAGATCGTTTCGTGCAAAACCAATGGCAATAAGAAGAAAGATCCTTAAAGATAAAGGGATATGTTTTAAATGTTGTGCAGTCTTTCACATGGCAGTGAACTGTTCCATCGTCGTTTCGTGTGACATTTGCAAGGCCAAAAATTATCCGACAGTCCTTCATGCAGTTTCAGAACAGAGCAGAGGACAGACATCACATGGCGAGGAGCGGACAGACCACACCTTTGAAAATAGCCAACAGAGCACTGAAGTGAAACCATGCTGTACACAAATATGTGGGGACTCATTCTCCGGCAAATCGTGCGCGAAAACAGTGTTAGTTCGCCTGTACTCACAAAATCAGCCATATCAAGACACAATTTGTTATGCTATGATTGACGACCAGTCAAATCAGTCTCTGGCTACACCATCTATCTGTGACCTTTTCAAGGAGAATTGCACTCAGGAATCAATATACCTGTTGTCTACCTGTGCAGGTCAAACAAGTTGCTCAGGTAGAAAATTAAAGAACGTAACGATTGAGTCATTTGATGGAAAACAAAAAATTTGTTTATCATCCGCTCTTGAGTGTGACCAAATCCCAGATGTTAGAAACGAGATACCAACCCCTGACTTTGCCTCATACTATCCGCACTTACAGGATATCGCACCACACATTCCGCCTTTGAATCCCGATGCAGAAATTATGCTTTTGATTGGTAGGGATCTGATTGAAGCCCATCATGTCCTTGATCGACGAATCGGACCGCCAAACTCTCCAACGCGCAGAAATTTCCCCTCGGATGGACAATTATCGGAGAAACATGTCTTGGCAAGGTACATCGTCCAAAAGCCGTTAACGTCTTGAAAACTAATATGACAAATAAAGGCCGCGTTACACTCTTCAGTCCTTGTATCAATTCGTTTGCTGTACGTGAGGAAAATCCAGACCAATCTGTCAAACTCGAAATAGACATATTTCTTAGGACGGAATCTGATAACAAGCCTGGACTGTCCACAGATGACAGAACATTCCTTAAGATCATGGATGAAGGATTCCACAAGAATGAAGACGGTAACTGGTCAGCACCACTTCCATTTCGCAATCGGAATTTCAAGATACCTAATAACAAATCCCGAGCTATATAAAGAGCCAAAACACTCGAGTCAAGTCTGAGACGTGACCCTGTGAAGAGAGAACACTTCTTTGAATTCATGAGTGGTATCTCTGACAATGCACATGCTGAAAAGGTGCCATTAATCCCAGATGAAAGTGAGAGCTGGTATCTACCAATATTTGGAGTCTATCATCCTCGTAAACCAAATCAACTGCGTGCCGTATTTGACTCTTCAGCTAAGTACGGAGGAGTATCGTTGAATGACATACTTCTTACAGGCCCGGATCTCGCTAACAGCTTATTGGGAATTCGACTTCGATTCCGTCGTAAAGCAGTAGCAATAATGGGAGACATTCAACAGATGTTTTATTGTTTCAAAGTGGATGAAAAGCATAGAGACTTTTTTCGTTTCCTGTTTTATGAAGACAATAACTTTAGCAAACCGCTGACAGAATATCGCATGTGTGCACATGTGTTTGGAAATAACCCTTCACCAGCAATCGCTACTTATGAACTCCGTAAGACTGCCGACATAAGCAAAGAAAATTATGGTGAAGATGTCAAAAAATTCGTTTGCAGGGATTTTTACGTAGATGATGGACTGACCTCATTACCAACATCTGATATGGCTATAGATCTAATGCAGAGGACCCAGTCCGCACTACAAATGAATCTCCGCCTACACAAAGTCGCCTCAAACTGTGAAGAGGTAATGAAAGCATTTGGTCCATCTGATCTAGCTAAGGATCTAAAAGACCTTGACCTGTCAAATGATTCGCTCCCCGTCCAGAGAAGTCTTGAACTCAATTGGGACATTACTTCAGATAGTTTTACCTTCAAACTCGTTAATGATATCAAGCCATACACCAGACGAAGAATTTTGTCAACAATCAACAGTGTGTATGATCCCTTGGGTTTCCTTGCACCCGTTCTTATTCGAGGCAAGCTCATACTAAGAAAGTTAACAACGGGAAGCGTTGATTGGGACGAGATCTTACCGGGGTCCAAATATGAAGAATGGGAAACTTGGAGAACCTCTTTACACCATTTGGAGAAGATACTTATCCCACGAATGTGTATTTCAACGTCATTTAGTGACACGGAAGATAAAAACTTCATATCTTCTCAGATGCATCCGAAAAAGCTATCGCCGCAGTTGCATACTTAACCTCAGACAAACATTCGAGCCTTGAATTTGTCCTAGGAAAAGCCAAGGTCGCACCAACCCATGGGCACACAATCCCGAGATTGGAGCTATGCGCAGCTGTGCTAGCCACGGAAATTGGTCAGACAATATCTGATAATCTTGATATTTCGCTAAACAACAAACAGTACCACACTGAAATCAAGGTAGTTCTTGGGTACATTTGCAATGAGAAACGTAGATTTTACATTTATGTCAGTAATTGCGTGGCGAAAATCCGTCAACTATCTCATTCGGCACAATGGACCTATGTGCCCACAGACAAGAATCCAGCGGACCTAGCTATCAGATCTATTTCATCCGCGGATTTGCAGCGAAGTTCCTGGCTATTGGGTCCTAGTCATCTACTCAAAGAAGAGCCAATTGAGGAATTCGAACTTCAGAATCCAGAAGAGGATACAGAAATTCGACCCGAAATAACATGTGCTAAGTCAAAAACAACAAAGAAATGTTTGCTTGGAACACAACGTACGTTTTGAGCGGTTTTCATGCTGGAAAAGACTTGTGAACGCTATTGCTGATAGTTAAACAATTTCTTAGCGCTAAAAACAATCTCCATGAGAAAGACTGTCGTCAAATAAGAAAGGAGGCAGAAAATTTAATCATCAAAGAAGTTCAAAGTGAGAGTCATGCCCTGACGAAATGGAATGCATCAGGTTACACAAAAAGTTGCCAAAAGAAAGCAAAATTGTAAACTTTGACCCATTTATAGACGAAAATGGATTGATGCGGGTAAGAGGGAGACTCCGTCATGCAAAAATATCAGTTGATGAACGACATCCAATTATAATTCCATGGAAACACCATTTAGCATTATTGCTAATGCGTCATTATCACGAGCAAATAAAACACCAGGGTCGGCACTTTACCTCTGGCTCGATACGGTCAGCTGGCTATTGGATAATAACTGAGAAGCGACAAGTATCATCAGTCCTAGAAAAATGCGTTACATGCCGAAAACTACGGGGTCAGAATGAACATCAGAAAATGGCAGACTTGCCAGAAGATAGAATTACTCCTGGGCCACCATATACTAACGTTGGCATTGACACCTTTGGGCCGTGGTCTATCCTAACAAGAAAGACACGTGGTGAAGCAGCAAACTCAAAACGCTGTGCAGTTATGTTTACCTGCTTGACAACGCGAGCCATTCATCTGGAAGTAGTGGAAGATTTAAGTTCTTCGTTCATCAATGCTTTGAAAAGATTCATTGCGATTAGAGGGCCAATAAAAATAATTCGCTCAGAATGTGGTACAAATTTTGTAGAGTCTGCAAAGGAGCTGAAGCTCGATTGCTTCAATGTAGGAGATACCCAAATGAAAACATATCTAAATGATAACAGCATTCAATGGATCTTCAATGATTGATTGGTGTCACCAGAAAAATACTAGATTCGATGATGTTACAACACTGTGGGGACCTTACCCATGATGTTCTCGTAACTTTCCTAGCAGAAGTTTGCGCAATCATTAACTCGAGACCGCTTTCAACCATATCAACAGATCCAGAAGACCCATTTCCTTTATGCCCATCATTGATACCAACACAAAAAACAAACGTTCTTCTTACTTCAGACGTATCATTTGGAAGTAAGATATTTACCACTCGCAATGCAATGGAAACGAGTACAATATTTGGCAGACGTTTTCTGGAACAAGTGGAGCGAAAGCTATCTACAGAATTTACAAAAATGGTCCGACGACAGAAGAAACGTAGAAATTGGCGATATGGTGCTTCTAAAAGACTCTCAAGTAAAACGCAGAGTGGTCAGTGGGACTTATCACGAAAGTTTTTCAAAGTTCGGACAAAAAAGTACGCAAGGTCGAGGTGCGTGTTACAGGAAAACATTTGACTCGTGAAAATCCGGTGACATGCATTCGCCCTGTGACCGAATTGGTAGTCTTATTGCTAGTAATGAAAAGTGATATCTGTTTTGGGTTAGATATCAGACGGGGAGTGTAATGTCTTACATTTTGTAAAGTATTATTTAGAATTGCAGATTGTGCATTTTAGGTGCATTAGCAAATATGTCAAATTCTGAATGACTAAATACATTGTTCATTGTTCCAATTGTTTTGATAACCATATTCTTACGCTTGAATTTCGCTGACTGACCATAAAGTCCCGTCTACTGTTTATGTTGAAGCTAAAATCAGCTGCATTTTGTTTATTTAACTGGAGAGCCCGTAGTTTGGTATTTATTTTAATTATGAAACTATGCTGTTTCCTGTGTAGGTTTTATTATATAGTCTGTATTTTCACGCACAAATTTCATTCTTGTAAAAGACTCAGCTAGTAGTACTATCCAGACGTTGAAACTGTGGCCGATCTCAATCTTTTTACCATCAAATCATCAAACGATCACTCTTAGATCTCGTCACCTCTTGTAAACAGGGACACACTTGCGCCTATTATAGGATCCACGTCCCTATGTGTACTGTTATTGTGACAATAAAGTGGTTAACTTGCTGTAATCCTTGTCTTTATAATTTCATTGAATAAAAGTTACATGGAAGGCAGTACAATATGCATCCAAGCAATCATCTCATTTTCAGTCCCACCACATTTAATCTTGAACTTTAAGCAGTAACTCGGTCTTATATAATTACTTTACCACATGTGTAACATTAAACGTTTAAATCTGAGTTTGCGAATTTGAACTCATAAAAAGCAACGAAATTTAACCTGAATAATTTGGCCAAGAATTAGAGTCACTACTAAACTATTTAAACAGCATTTTAGCATTACTAGGTTTACACGATAGAAAAGTAATGTTAGAAAGGCTGAGATTTCATTTTATTGCATACTGCTTGCTGGCCTCTCCTTTTTTTCTTTCCGAATGATATATGGAGTCTGCGAAATTTTAAAATTCACTTCAGACTTTTTTTGGTTCGCTTGGTCTAAGTTAGATAGAAACTTATTACAGCTATCTCTTTCCCATTTATTTCCCATATATCTATAATCGAAACACTGTTATGTTGATTGATTGATTGATTGTATATTGTTTAACGTCCCTCTCGAGAATTTTTCACTCATATGGAGACTTCACCGTATGCCGGTGAAGGGCTTCAAATTTTAACCTTTACTCGGCACTCAGTGCCATTGAGCAGTGAGGGATCTTTATCGTGCCAACGCCTGACGCTGACACGGGGCCTCGGTGTTTAAGGTCTCATCCGAAGGACCCGCAACTTTCACTTCAAAGTGTCGAGCGCATGGCGAAGAAACAGTTGCTACCCATTTTAACGACTAGGTCAGTCGCGGCCGAGAAACGAACTCACGACCTCCCGATCACGAAGCGAGCGCTCTACCGACTGAGTTACCGTGAACGGTATTGTTATGTTGAAACAATTAAAAAGAATATCCTCATAAGCAAGAAAGTGGATAGTATTAGCCTGAATAATATGTATCTACATCTGAATTGAAAAAAATTAATGTGATAATCATATGAATGATATACATGGTTTTAATCAGGAAATTAACAAAAGATTTCCGGGGATATTCTGCTTATAATTCAGAAGTACTCCTATATTGCTAACAAATAGAGGACAGCTTTTTAAAAATACAACTTACTTAAAACACGTAGGATAAAACTTACTTATCATAGTTATGTACCTACTTTAGACCTACCTTTTTTCCTCTTCGATTGAAGTAATTGGTTGAATGTTTATATTTGTGACCCAGTCTTTCCTTGGTTAAGGAAACCTTCAATATATACGTGTATTATTTTCTCTAGTTGTTAGTGGTTGGATGCAATACAAATAAAAAAGAAAAGAGAGATCGTATTTCGTAAAACTGTAGAAATTTGAATATTACGTCAATTCTTGACGAAAAAACTGTTTAAGTAACCCTGAATTCTATGTAACATAAACAGACGTTCTAGAATTGCACGAGGGTTGTTCCAAAAGTAATGTCACAACTTTGATAAAATTGCTATAAATCGATGTAAAGCAACAAAATTATTCGTGATGAAAGCTTTATTTATTTCAAATCAGACCTGAAAAATTCAAAGGAATATGATGTATACTTTTCAAAATATCGGATTTTAAACAATGCGCGTTTATGGTAGTCGCCGCACCTAAGCATAACGTCATATGACGGATACACACCGTCATACTTTTAAGCGTTTCCCCTTCGTTTCATTAAAAAATATTTGTGATTCGCAAACACTTCACCAATTCCACTTTCTTGAAAAATTCTTGGTACCATTATACACTCACTCTTTTCATAATTATATAAGCCCTCCGTCAAAACTTTTTGAACAGTAGCATAAGACAAAGTTAAAAATTCACATGTCACTCGATCTATACGTCTGTCTTTTTTGACAACGTCAGACATCATTGAACATTTCCGTCCGATCTCCTATCTTTCGGTCTTCTTCTCCTCTGCTAATCATTCAGTGACCAATCACCCGACCAATATTGCTGAAACTATCTGTTAAGATGTCTCTTATTTACATTCTTTATTCTGTAAGTCTGATTGATTGACGAAAATGTCACTAGTGATGATTCCCATATTTTGAAGTAAAAATGCATTACAACTCATCGAGCCCCACCCCATTTCGACAATCCCTTTGTTCAATTCAACAGACTAAAACAACAATGCTTATGATCACAAATACTAATGCCGTCATTTAATTTTCAATTAAAGACTAGAAAATGACGGGAATTGTGTCTTTAACAAAATTGGGAGATTATGTGCTTTTTTAGAATCTTTTAATATGTTTGTCTTTTTCATTCTAAGAAAAAAAAACCCAGGGGAACCGGGTTATAATAGGTCCTCAGTACCCCCTTGCTTGTCGTAAAAGGCAACTAAATGGAGCGGTCCTTCGGATGAGACCGTATAAACCGAGGCCCCGTGTCACAGCAGGTGTGGCACGATAAAGATCCCTCCCTGCTCAAAGACCGTAAGTGCCGAGCATAGGCCTAAATTTGCAACCCTTCACCGGCAATGGTGACGTCTCCATATCAGTGAAATATTCTGTACACAATCAATCAATCTAAGAAAAAAAATATACGTTAAAACGTGACGTTCCGTTGTGACGCGGAGACACCCCCTATGCTCTATGTTTTAAACATCTATAAAATAAATTCAAATAAACATTATTAGATTAAAATTTCAATGTTAATTAGATTTATATTTGTGCATCTTTTGGTATATTGTATTTGATAACATGACGCCAAATATAAAAAATATGGACACAGTGACATTACTTTTGGATCAACCCTCGTACATTTACCTGTATTTTCATTTCATGTTTAATTTTAATTATTGTATACTATAATGTTAACGTTTTCATGTCATAATTGTACTATAATTGTTAATATGTTTAGAAGGTCCCGAAGAGGACAAGTCCTTTGCATTAATCGGGTTTCATTCTTTAAATAAAATATAATTAGTATTTATTATACTGTTTACTCGACTACGTCTCTCAATTCAGAAATACATTCATAAATAACTAAAGAATTTAAGGTATACGATAGGTGATCAAAAAATTCGCGAACTACATGTTATTGAATAATTTCCATAAAAGAAATAATACAGGGTTTCAGTGTTGATTTTTTTAAGGGGGGACCTATGTCCGAAAAGTCTTTGTGTGAAATTTTCAAAACTTTCACATTTCTTTCCTGACCACTTGCTCTTAATTTTTAGGTATTAAAAACAATACCTTTATATGCTTATTTTTACACAGGAATACGTGAAATGCTAAAAATAGATTATTTTCAGTCATTATTGTTCTACCCCAAATATGCGCTAAAAAGAACCAAAAATGTCAAATCATATTCAAAATCAACACTTATTTAACTTATATGACTTGTACCTTTAAAATGGAGGCAAATTCATTGAAATCCATCTCGCATGAAAAATTATAATGGAGCACAATGTAAGTATTACCCCATTTTTCTTGTCGTATTTTTTACAATTCCGACATGCATAACACGTAAATATTTTAAAAAGTCTTTGTGTGAAAATTTTGTAATTCATATTTTTTGAAAGAAATGATTCATCTCTTTATTTCAACAAAGAAAAAAGTATACCTTTTTTATAAAATAAACGAGAAATATGACGTTTCCTTTTATTTTTGTACTCTTGTGTCATAAATATTGACCTTTCTGCACTAAAAAAGGGTAAGTAAGCACTGACAAACACCTGAATATAAAACTATTTTGCGGAAAACGAGTATTTTGTTTTGATTAGAAACAATTTAAATAGATAAAAAAAATTTCTACATTCCATTCATTCTGTTTCTCTCCCCCCCCCCCCTCCCATTTCCCCGTCAACAACCAATGCCTATTAGAACCTAGGAATGACTTTATACAATAAAATCTACATGTACTATATAAATCAATAAGCAAATATACACCCGTACAAGTACATTTCTTAATTTTTTTCTTAGTTTTCTCCAGAAAATCGATTAATGGTAATTATAGAATTAAACATTTTCCCCTGATTTAAGCCGCTTTCTTTCCAGAATTTTATCTCTTTTTTGCACTATTATATCAGCATATTATCGGGGTATTTTTTCATAACAGAAATTGCTATGAATTATCAACCAAAGGAAGAGAATTCTAATATTAACAAACTCCATAAATCAAATAAAACTGTGATTAATGATGAATAAATTTTCCTTTTTGTAAATTTTGTACGTAATTGATTATCAACTATGTTATGCCTATATCACAGTTGCAAAAGTCAACAGGTAAAAACAAACGTCGCTATTGTGACGTCACATAACGCTGCCTTGACGTAGAACGACATAGGTCCCCCCTTAACATAGTCCTTTTTGATTGATTTTATCGCACATCTGCAACCGTTCTGACAATGTGCGAATCACGTCATATAGACGGTCACGTGACAAGCTCCGTAGCGTTCCGTCACAGAAGCTAAAAAATTTTCCCTACTCTAGTATTTCTTTCCATGAACGTTATTCCTTATCAAATATGAAAAGAATGAAAATAATGAAAAAACACAGCCCATTTGTCAGAAATGGCAAATCTAGGCAATAGTGTGATTGAATAAGAATATCCCTTTCACGAATGAGCATGGTGACCACCATAACCCGAGTACTCTGTCTTGGACACGTCGTTTATTCAATGCGGATAAAGTATGGGTGCCTCCTTTTATCATATCTGAGATGTTTTTAGTCTAAAATAAACGATATTTACGGGATTTAATTATTACACCATTGTTAAGATATTCAGCTATTTTTCTTACTGTAAGTTGATGATCTTTCATATCAAAATGCTTCACAAAGGACACGTCTCTTCCCCAACTTGAGATAAATATACTCCGTATGCAGGTGATGAAGGAATATTGCTGCATAAGTAAGGGAAGCTGATGATAGAAAAGTTAAAGTCATCACGTTTATCATATAGCTTGGTTGTTAGATTACCATTAACCTACCTTTCAAGTAAAATATCCCAGTATGAAAGAGACGTGTCGGACTCTTTGGTATCTCTTATCTCAAGCTCTCCAGGATATATCGTATACGTATCGACGTAGGAATGGAAATTACCATTGTTAATTGACAATACGTCGTCGATATATCTAAACGTCGAGTTAAAGGTCACAGCAGGTGTTTTCTCCTTTTCACGCATAAGAGTTTGCACAAATTTTGCTTGATATGAATTCAAAAATAGGTCTGCTTATAACAGAGCGCAATTTGTACCCATGGAAATTCCAATAGATTGTTGGAAGACCTGGTCTCCAAAAACTACATAGATATTGTCAATCAGAAACTCAAGCATCTTTTCAACGTTAACTTCAGAGTACTTGTGTGTGCAATCAGAATGTGTTATAATAAAATAATTTTGCAAATGACCAAAGACCAGGTAAGTTTACGAGTTCCATTTTTATTGAAAAAGCAGCTGTCAATGATATCAAAAAGCTTGGACTTTAATTTATCGTAGGGAATTGTTGTGCATAAAGTTGAAAAGTCGAATTTTTTTAAGCTGCTGATTTTTGTAAAATCTTGTGATTTCAAATTTCCAAAACTTCTTTGAATTTTTCAATATCCACATCTGATTCACACAACTTCTTAAATATACTGTCGCACAGTACTCTTGAAGTTTTTACTTCACTACTGTTAATATCTTAGTGAGGAGTAACAAAAGAGGCTTGGTTGAACGTTTACTGGAACCCGCAATGTATCTTTGTTTGTAAGGATTTTTATGAAGTTTCGGAATCCAATATATATATAGGGTAGTTCAAATTCAATTTGGCTCTGTTGAATATTACCAAGAGGCCCAGGGGCCACAGCGCTCACCTGAGAACATCAGCTAAAAATCAAAGTACTCAGAAGTACAGAGAGCCGGGCTCATTTACAGAGTAGAATCATTATGAATTTCTTTTATGAATCATACGTTTAAATTGTATTAACAGATTTAAAAAAAAAAAAAAAAGAATATCACGTTTAAAATTCTGATGAAAAAAATCATTTTAAATCTATCAATATAAATGATAAGACACTGACAGTGAGTTTCTATCCTAATACCACGGTCCGATTTTGTCAGAATCAGAATTAATCTGGTACCGGAACTGAAAATAAACAAACAGGCCAGTCTGGTTCCCTCTCCTGCTTTTCTTCGTATGTGTAGAGAACTAAGACACATGTAACACTGATTATCAAAACTCCTTACACCAATGAACTATGTTCTTTGACTTAAGACTGAAGTTTTCAAAGGTACTAAA